TGTCTATATGAAGTGCGCTTCTCTCACCCCAGGTGCCATTCATTCTCCATTTTCACAGAGGGCAGACTGAGGCCTGAATAGAAGCTCACACCCAGAAGGCGGTGAGCACCCAGGTTCTCGGACTTAAAAGCACCTACACATAGTGATAAGAACAAGGACCTCGAGCCAGATCGTCTGGACTGAATCCCACCTTGCCGCTCCTCAGTTACCTCGGACAAGTACTACTCTCCATCCTCAGTTCTCCCCATCATGGTAAAAGGGAATTTTAATTATTTACTGCCTTTCACCGGGATTGTTTGAGAGTTCAAAATGAGATTACCCATATTATTTAGCACTTAATAAGTGCAGTCCTTTATGTTACGTAATGTTGACGCGTTATTATTATTCATTTATTTAAAACCGATTCGCCGCAGTGGCTGAATAATCTATGCTATGTTTTCAATCACCGTTCACTTTAGTGCTGAGCTAAGATCTATATGTTACTCACTTTAGTCTCCGACAATCCTGCTGTTATGTTCAGTTGTTTAGAGGAACAAGCATAAATGTGTGGACTACTCTGTCGTTAAGTTCAAGGCATCTACTGCAATGATATAAACTAGTAGGGTCTCAACAGCAATCTTGTGAGTACTCTTACAGTGAGGGGCATTTTAACATGAAGAAAGTTTAGCAACGAGAGAGTGGAGACTTCCCAGGCTCACATCAGAGCAGAGTGGGATTTGAACCAGAATTCAAAGTTCTTAACTGTTCCACTTTACTGCTTAATATACATAAAACTCTGATACAAAAACCCACTTCCCAGAAGCACAGACCGATCGCCTGGATTCTAATCATATCCTCAACCCCAGGGCCAGCTAACCACCAGGCCACTATCCTTGGCCCCCCTCTTTATGCAGATGAAGTACCCTGGGCTTTGTAAATTGGGCAGCATGTGAGCCAGTGAACCGATCCTTCCTGCTCCTGGCTAGTGAGGACTGGCTCCGCTAAGGCTTTGGGACTCAGTACAGGAGCACTGTCTGCAGGGTACCTGGAAAGGTGACTGGGGTTTGGAGGCCAGTTCAGGGCTGCCACAGTAACAGGGCCTCCCCTGACAGGCAGCACTTCGTGACTTTCAGCCCCGTTCCCATCGCAACTGGGCTAATAGGAATATCCTGCTACTGGGCCATGGAAAGATACAAGAGGAAATCCATCAGAAGAAAAAGAAAAACCCCACCATATAATGGTATACATTAAGTTATATAAAACAATATCCTCTAGTCAACAATTACATATTAAAAATCAAAAAAAAAAAAAAAAATGTTATTCAATGTGTAGTAGGTTTCTAGGTGTTGCATAGTTAAATATTGATGTGTTAATATAATTATGATAAATAGCACATAATTTGGTATCATATTATCGAATTACATAATTCAACATTATATAATACATAATTCTATATATACTTAGGCTAATATAATTATATAGCACAATACAATTATATGTTGTATCTATTATACATTATATAATACATAATTGCATATTAAATATTGTTTTTCCTTCAAATTTTATATATAATGTAAAATTATTCTGTGTCATTGGGACATTATACCATAAGACATTGATAGTGTTTTTTATTTTTGTCAGTCATCATTATGTGTTTTAAGACCTACCCTTGTTGCTCTGTGGACACCTGGTTTGTGGCTGTGGTGGCTTCATGGGACTCCTGGACAGCTGCCAGGAATGCATGACACTAGCAGTGCCACTAACAGTGCGTGAGAGTTCCCCACATCCCCACCCCAACTTGGCATTTTCCAACTTTTAATTTTTGCCAGGCCCATATGGGATGACTTGCTGTTGCTTTAATTTGCATTTCCTCAATCAGTTGCAATACCTTCTAGCATCTTCCCAGGTGCCTGTCAGAGTGTTGTGGCTCCTTGTTTGTTACCTGCTCTTCAAACTCTGGACGCTTTTCTATCAGGATTGCTGGGTTGTTTTTTTTTTCTTCCTCATTTGCAGCTGTTGCTTTTACATTCCAGATGTTAATTTCTTGTTGATTTTACACATTGCAAATACCCTTTCCCTGTCTGTCATCTGATATTTGTCCCATGGTATCCTCTTTAAGAGAAAACCCATTATTTGCATGTTATCAAATGCATCATTTTTCTGCCTTATGAGTTTCTGTGGTTTGACTCAGAAAATCTCTCCCTTTGTGGTCATGGATGTTGACTGTGCTCATTAACCACCGAGGGCCATTAAGGCCACATGTGTACAGTATAGATAAGTGCCAGGGCCTTTTGTGACATTCTTCCCTGAGGTTTTTACAGGTTCCCCAGAGCCTGGTGACAGTCCCACACTACAAGGCCTCGGCTTGGCCAGGAGGGTTAAGTCACATCTTGGAGATGCAGGCACTGCACGAGAGAGCCAGCCACCACGCAGCACGCCACTAGAGACTGCGGGAGACCAGGGGCAAGAGGCAGGAAAAGAGAGGGTCTGAAACTATGGTATGTCACGTGATGGAAAAACTAAAAAGAATGGGCTTTGCCCCTGTGTAAATGTTCCAGCGTGGAAAAAAAATATATATCCATGGTGACTTCGTTCAGTGAAAAAAGGTGCAAAAATACACTTCTGAAAGCACCGTTTCATTGAGCTGACTAACATGAGGTTTGGCAAAATCATTCCAACAACTATGACCTATTTATTCCACCCCTGGGTACTACCCTACCAAGTGCACACTTCATGCCTAGCAAAAGGCAGGTGCTCAGATACTCGCAGTGTTAGGTCCGGACCTGAGAGGGAGGCACATGAAGCCTTATGTGTAGTAAAACGATGTTTTATTTTCAGCATCTGGGTGCAGATGGGTGGAGGCCAAAGAGCCTCCATCCTGAGTGAGGGGAAAGCCTTGGTTTTTGGTTTTTTTTTGAGACAGAGTCTTGCTCTGTTGCCCAGGCTAGAGTGAGTGCCGTGGCATCAGCCTAGCTCACAGCAACCTCAAACTCCTAGACTCAAGCAATCCTCCTGCCTCAGCCTCCCGAGTAGCTGGGACTACAGGCATGCGCCACCATGCCCAGCTAATTTTTTCTATATATATTAGTTGGCCAATTAATTTCTTTCTATTTATAGTAGAGACAGGGTCTCGCTCTTGCTCAGGCTGGTTTCGAACTCCTGACCTCGAGCAATCCGCCCGCCTCGGCCTCAGCCCCGGCCCAAGCCTTGGGTTTTATAGAGGGTTTTTCTGGGTAGCTTCGTCCTTATCAGAGGTGATAGGAATGCTGGCATGGCTGCAGTTGCCTGTGGTTGAAGTTAGATTTACAGCTTTTGTTTCACGGGCTATATGATATTTTTCGGGTTCAGCACTGTTATTCACAACAGCCCCAGATTGGAAACAACTCAAATGTCCACGACAGGAAAATCAATCAATAAATCACGGAACCGGGGCCGGGCGTGGTGGCTCACGCCTGTAATCCTAGCACTTTGGGAGGCCGAGGTGGGCGGATTGCTCAAGGTCAGGAGTTCGAAACCAGCCTGAGCGAGACCCTGTCTCTACCAAAAATAGAAAGAAATTAATTGACCAACTAAAAATATATATATACAAAAAATTAGCCGGGCATGGTGGTGCATGCCTGTAGTCCCAGCTACTCGGGAGGCTGAGGCAGGAGGATCGCTGAGCCCCGGAGATTGAGGTTGCTGTGAGCTAGGCTGACGCCACGGCACTCACTCTAGCCTGGGCAACAAAGTGAGACTCTGTCTCAAAAAATAAATAAATAAATAAAAATAAATAAATAAATCACGGAACCGGGCAACCAGAAGGAATAAACCATAGCCAAATACAATAACATGGAAGAATTGCAAAGACACGAGGTTGAGTGAAAGAAAGGGGACACAGTAAATGAGTCCCTTTATATACAGCTCAAAATGAGACGAAACTACCCGGTTAGACTTAAGGCTGGTGGTATTAATAACTTGTGTCAGTGCTGGCAAGGGGCACAGGGGGTTTATGGAAAATGACCGATGTTTCTTGATTTGTATGAATGTCACGTGGGTTTGCTCAGTTGGGGACAATTCATCAACCTAAGCACTTAATGATTTGTGCTCTTCTTTGGCATTTCAATTTTTAAAAAGTCAAGCATGACACATTTAGGTAAAAGATAAAAAAAAAAACACACACACATACTCAAAAGGAAAGTCTGTTTCTATGAGCACGGAGTTAGGTGATATTCGTAAAGGCACAGATAGCAGTTTGGATGGAGTCTTGGTCACCCCTGCCTAAGAGGGGACAGTGGATGGGGAGGGTTTACCTCCACCTGTAATGTTTTTGTAGTACGATAACACCAGGTTGTGTGAGGATTCAATGAGTTAATATTTTTAAAGCCCAGAGAGCTGTGTGTGGTACACAGTAGGTGCTACATTAAGGTTTGTTACAGTAAAGTAACAAAACGAAAATGTTGTCCAGGGTACAAATGGTACTTAAAAGTAAACTCGGGATAAAAGAAATGTAAAAAGAAATACACAAAATATATGTCTTGTGAGTTTCCATTCAAACTTCTGAGCATTACATGCACGAATATGTCCCCAGAGAAATAACAGACTTTCCTTTTGAGTGTGTGCGTTTTTTTTTTTACATAAATATTAGTCACACTTTTTTTTTTAAACCTGCTTTTACCAAAGAATGACAGTGACAGTCCTGAGACAGAAAGATGAGAGAGATAGAGGGAGCCTCTGGGCCAGAGGGTGGGGGCCGGCAGCACCGGAAACCTCAGCCCGAAGGGATCCCCGAGTGGGGGAGGGGGCCGCTGGTCTCTCCCCAGCCTCTTCCTTCCCCCCGGCCTAGGGGTGGGTGGGGAGGGGCAGTTCCTCTTTCCTTCCCAAGCACCGAGGAGGCCCCAGCTCCCTAGGGGCTGAGAAGCTGGAGCCTTGGCGAGGGGGGAGGAGCTGAGCCACGTTCTCTGCAAGACCCCCATCCTCGTCCCCGTCCCCGCAGAAGCATGAACAGGAAAGACAGCAAGAGGTGAGAGGACCCTCCCTAGCGGCCCGGAGCACCCTAAGCCCCTGGGCCTCCCACTGGAGGCAGGCTGGGGAGACACTGAGGAGGGGGTAGGAGGGCGGCTCCTCTAGGAGCCAGCACGGGGGTGCCAGGTGGCAGGATGCTTGGGGAGGCCAGGGCCAGCTGGGGCCGCGCTGCTTGCATTGGAGCACCTGCGCCCATGCCTGGTCCTTCCTCCCTCTCTGGAGTTTGAGCTCCTCCTTGCCACACCCCGCCCCCCAACCTAGCTCCTTCTGCTGAATGTCCCTGTCCTCCCTGGGGTCTTCCTGGTTCCCCTCCACAGTCCCCATCCTCTGGACTGGAAACTCCGGGCTCCTGCAGGGCCCTGCCCCAGGAGAGGGGAGTGTGACGCAGGGCGAGGCGGCTCCCTGCCTCGTAAACCACCCTGGCCGCCCCGACACTACCCGGGCTGGGCTGCCGTCTGCAGAGAGGGGCCTGGGACTGGCTGTGCCGGCAGGTTCTGGAATGAGTTTCTGTCTCCCCGGCGAGCTTGCCCTCTGTCGCCGCAGGGGCAGGTGGCGGTGGGCTCCCCAGCCTGGGTAGCCCGGCCAGCCTCCAATGGGCAAAGGGATCCCTTCCCCATAATGCTCAGCAGTTTAGTGGTGGAGTCCTGGCTGCCTCATTTCCTGGCTGTGTGACCTTAGGTAAGTCACTCAACTGCTCTGTGTCTGTTTCTGTCAATAGAATAGCCACAGACCCTACCTCCGAGGGGCCTGTAAGTACTCACTCAGCAAGACAGTCTAGACCAGTGGTTCTCAAACTTGAGTTTGCATCAGAACCACCCGGAGGGCTCGTAAAACACAGGTTACTGGATTTAGCCCTAAAGTTTTTGATTTTGTAGGTCTGGGGTGGGGCTCTGAGAATTTGTATATAAATCAAGTTCCCAGGTGATGCAGTTGGTCCTGGCTGGGGACCGTGCTTCGGGAACTGATCTAGCTGGAGCCCCCCGCCCTGGCACAGCGTCAGCCCTCAGCAAAGCCAGGCTCATTCACAGCATTCAGTCCCGATGTGCTGAGCCCTGGGGGTGTGCCGGGGTCCCCCCCATGCCGCAGGCCTGGCTCTGGTCTGCCTGATCACTCTCTCCCTCTGCACCTCAAGTTCAGCTCTCCCACTCTGGTCACCTAACAGCCTGTGACTGAGAACTAAGTCTGTTACTGAGCACTTTTGATGAAGGTCTGTGAGTTTTCCTACGAGGAAACTGAGGCCCAGAGAAATTGACTAACACAAAGTGTCACAGCCAGCAGCTCTGTCTGGAGTCCGGATTCTGCTCCCTTCCACCTCCGCCCTCCCTCCTCTCCATCACCCTCTTTCCCCAACTGGCACCGGAGCCTCAGGGAGGCACGGGGCAGTGAGAGGGTTATTTTAAAACTTTCCTTGAAGCCGCCTTGGCCCCAGGGACCCCTAGCCCAGAGGAGGCCACTTTGCGCTGGCGTTTCCTCTCCAGGGCCCTAATCTAGGGGACCCAGGCTGGAGGCTAAGACTGCAGGTCCTGCCTAAGGGCTAGTGTTCGGTTTGGGGGTGTGGAGGGAGATGGCAGAATGGGGTGGAGTGGGGGAGGGGGCTTGGTGCTGACTCACTGGTCGGAAGAATCTCCCAGGCTCCTCTGGGCCAAGTTGCTCCAAGTTGGCTCCTCTGGGCCACTCCTTGAGGAGTGGTGTACACTTTTAGTAGGGGTGAAGGTGGGGAGACGGGGAGAGGGACTCCCAGGACTCTGTGTGCAGGAGCCTGATCTCAGAAGGCTGGGCGGGGGGCGCAGGGCGGGTGTCGGAGACCAAAGGGGAATTCTGAGGGGTCGGCCTGAAGGCAGAGCCTCCTGGGCTTCCCCTGGAGGAGAGAAGTGATCCCAGGGTCTTCTGCCATGATCCCCTGGGAGGTCAGGCGTAATCCCGGCATCTGCCAACAGGAAGTGTCTCCCATGATGCCTTGAGACCAAACAGTCAACAGGAATTTGGGGCAGTGCCTGGAGGAGGAAGTCCTTATGATTACCTGGAGGGTCCTTAGCAGTCCCTGAGGGTGGGGGTCTTCTCCTGCGACCCCCTGGGGGCACATAGTGGTCTTCAGGACCTTTCCTCTGATACCCCGAAGGCAGCAGGAGTAACCCTGGGAGTTTACTTGCAGAAGAGGGTTCTTCTGATTATCCCTGGGAGATCTGGAATATTCCTGGGGGCTTCTCCCATAAGTCCCTGGTAGGTTGGGAGTAACCCTGGGCCTCTGCCTTTAGGAAGCTTCTCCCAGGGTGCCTTGGGGCACTGGGGTGAAGAGGCATTCTGGGGGTCTGCCTGAAGGAAAGGGCTCCCATGATTCGGGGTGGTGGGTACCCACAGGAAGTCCCACCAGGAATGCACGGGGAAGACAGGGACACGGGGCCGGCCCCGACAAGCCCGGCGCCACAAGACGTGCCCCAGCGCCCGGGAAATCAGCAAGGTCATGGCCTCCATGAGTCTGGGCGTGCTGAGCGAGGGCGGCTGCAGTGAGGAGGAGATGCTGGAGAAATGCATCCAGGCCTTCGGTGAGCGTCTGCCCCCCAACAGCCCCTCAGTCCCAACGCCAGGCCAGGTACCCACTTCCATCGGCCTCAGCGTTTGGGGGTATACAGTGGGCGCAGGGGCGTGTGGCCCAGGCAGTCCAGCCATCCCTGGAGGCTGTGCTGTCCGTTGCCCGGGGACCATTCTGACGCAGGGTCCCCTCCTCCCATCCCTAGACTCTGCTGGCAGCCTCCGCCACGGGGACCACATACTCAACATGGTGCTGGCCATGCACAGCTGGGTACTGCCTTCTGCCCACCTTGCTGCCCGTCTGCTGACCTTATATCCTCCCAGGACCATGAGCTGTGGGCAGAGGGCGGAGGGTGGGGACGTGAGAGCCTGGGAGATGGGGACAGGGCCAGCAGGCAGGTCTGGGACGCTGGGTAACAGAGCCTTGACCAGAACTCAAGTACCAGAAGGCTGCAGAGGGCACACAGGAGCTGAGGCGGCTGCAGATCTGTCACCTGGTCAGGTAGGGCGGGGCCAAGATTTCTGCTCCCATCACCCAAGACTCCCATCCTGCTACCCCTCAAAAGTATCTCTCAGAGACTCCCCAGCCCAGTGCCCACAGACCCACCCCCACTCCCCAAGATGCCACTTCTGAGACCCCGCTGGCTTGGTCCCTAAGACCCTTCCAGTTCTAGTCCTTAGGACCCCCACTTCCTAGAGTCCCCCAGCCAGATCCCATGGCCCTTCTCCCCACCGGTTTCCAAAGACCTCCAGCTCTGCTCCCTAAAACACCCCCTCCCACATACCTCAGCCTAGTCCTAAGACCGCCTCACCCTGTCCCCCTCAAAATTTCACTCCCAGGAGCCCCCAGTCTAGAAACCCCCCACTATCCTGCTTCTCATCAGTCCCACTTCCAAGAGATCCCCCCAGTCTGTGTTAAGAGACCCCCATCCTACTCCAGAGATCTCCCGCGTCTGGTGCCCCTCCAAACCAACCCTCACCTTCCAGAGACCCCCTAGCTCTGCACCTAGAGATTCCTCAGCCCGAGGGACCCCTTGTAGAGACCCCACCCACCCGCAGCTCCATCTCACCATCTCTAAACCACTCTCAGGTACTGGCTGACTCAACACCCGGAGGCGGTGCACCAGGAGCCCCAGCTGGAAGAAGTCATAGGTCGTTTCTGGGCCACTGTGGCCCAGGAGGGCAACTTGGCCCAGAGGAGCCTGGGAGATTCTTCCAACCAGTAAGTCAGCACCAAGCCCCCTCCCCCGCTCTACCCCCATTCCGCCATCTCCCTCCACACCCCCAAACCCTCAGCTTGGAGCTGCTCCAATACCCTCCCCCTCTTGGCCCCCAGCCTGAGCCCTGGTGGCCCCGGGCCCCCGGCCCCCATGAGCAGCCCGAGCCTGGGCAAAAAGCGCAAGGTGTCCCTGCTTTTCGACCACTTGGAGGCGGGGGAGCTGGCCCAGCACCTCACTTACCTGGAGTTCCGGTCCTTCCAGGCCATCACGGTGAGGACCCCCTTCCCCTCCCTGCCCCAAGCAGAGGACAGATGTGGGGTGGGGCTGGCGGGGGCCAGGCAGGACTGAAAGGACCCCTGCATGGGCATCCAAGCAGGCATCTCAGATTCTTAAACTGTCAAACCTGGTGCTGGCGGCTCTAGGAAAATGAATTAAGCTGGCTGAGCACAGAGTCCCTGGGTTCAAGTCCCATCAGCCCCTTCTGACCTGTGTCACTTTGAACTAGTTTCTCAACCTCTCTGGAACTCATTTGTAGAATGGAGGTCATAATACCTCATTGGATGGTTGGGGAATCAAATGAATATATCTGAGTTAAAATGCTTATTGTAGTGCCTGGCACTCAGTAAGTGCTCAGAATATTTGATCGCTTATTTATTCAGGAAGCATTTAAATTCACCGTGCCTCAGTTTTCTCATCTGTAAACAGGGGATATTAACAGTCCATGCCTCGTAGGAACAGTGCCTGGTCCAGAGTAGATGCTGTCTGGTGGAACAATTTGAAATGTCCATATTTTACCTAACCAAATGTCAATTTCATGTGCTTCAGTATATATGTGTGCGTTAGCTTTTGCCATGTTGACGTCATAATTTCAAGGGAAGGTGGGGATCTGGTTCCTTAATGTGGAAATTTCCTGATCATGTATGTGTGTGTGTGTGTGTGTGTGTGTGTAAATATACAAACATACATGGTACAGTGGATGTGCGTGTGGAATATCCACTCTTTGAGCAGAACAAATAGACGTTGATTTCAATCCTCATCTCCGTCCTCCCCTTTGCTGATTGTATACCAATCAGGTATACAGCAAGAGCATACCTGTGTGACCCTGGGCAAATTACTTGTCCTCTCTGTGCCTCAATTTGCCTCATCTCTAAAATGGGAATAATAACAGTACTCACCTCTTAGAGTTATGAGGATTAAATTAGTTAATACGATAAAGTGCTCAGAATAGTGTCTGGCTTTAAACATTTTTCCTCAGATGAGAGAGGACCCTGGGGAAGTCAGGGACATGTGGCAGCCGCGGGGCGGTGGTGGTGGTGACAGATGACAAAGGTCACTCAGACTAGACCAGGCTAGGACTTCAGAGGTCGTGACTGCTTGGAGAATGGTGTGTGAGGGGCAGGGCCTGAGCCCCACCGCCCACCCTGACGGCCACCTCCCACCTCGCCCCCAGCCGCAGGACCTGCGGAGCTACGTGTTGCAGGGCTCGGTGCGGGGCTGCCCGGCCCTGGAGGGTTCCGTGGGCCTCAGCAACAGCGTGTCCCGCTGGGTGCAGGTCATGGTGCTCAGCCGTCCCGGACCCGCACAGCGCGCGCAGGTGCTGGACAAGTTCATTCAGGTGGCGCAGGTAAAGCCCGCCTGCCTTCCGCGCTCTCCGGCGCCAGCCCCGCGGGGCTGCTCTCCCGGCCCCGCCCCTTCGGGGCCATCCTGGCGGTGACGTCGCGCATCTCCTGGCCTCGCACCCGGGGGCCACAGTTGGGACTCTCTAACCCGGACTGTGACTTTTCCCTTGGCCTTGGCATCACCGCATCCAATCTGCCTTGGCCCTAGACGTGGCTATTAACGAAGTCCCTCCTGGCCGGGTCTCCTAAGCCCTGAGCCAGAATATTCTATTCCCAGGACAAGGAAAGCGTCCCTTCCGTGCCCCACCTTTGCCTCCACCAAGCCCTCCAGCCCCTGCGCCCCCTTCAGACAGTGACCGCACCCCTCCCCATCACGGCGGCTCCTCCCTTCCCCGCCCCCTAGCGTTACGCACCTCCCCTCCCCCCCACACCCTCCCTCCCTTCTGGGGAAAAGGGAAGCCCGTGGCCACACCCCCTTGTGCATTTCCACGCAGACCACGCCCTCCCCTGGCGCTTCCCTCGCTCTGCTTCCTCCTGCCAGCTCCTGGGCTGGGGGTTCTCTTGTCGTCCCCCCCTCCCCCGGGGGTCTCCTTGGTCTGAGCATCCTCCACTCTTCCCAGGCCCCGCTCTCCAAAGCGACCTCTGCCCTTCAAATTCGGGAAAAGGGAGGGTGAGGGAATGCCCCTGATGCCCGCGTGACCCCACAGCTGTGTGCATCTGTCTGACCCCTGCATCTCTCTCCCGCCCCACTCACCTGTGCCTGGTCCCAACTCCTGCCCAGAACCCACACCTTCTTGTCTCCCCTCCCGTCTGACACACGCCTGTGTATTCCCCAAATCTGTCCCTCTCCCATGCTCGCCTGTTTCCCACATTTTCTAACCTCCCATCAGCCCATCACCTGCCCCACCAGTACCCCCCAAGATAACAATCTGACACCCCTTGAGGCCACGCGCCTGCTTGTGGCCCACTCCCGCACTGGGCCACTGCTGCACACGCCCTGGACCCCAAGTCACCTGGGATGTTCTCATGTGACTTGCCTGTGCTACAACACCTGCCATCTCTGTGCCCCGCCTCCCTCCCAGAGTCTCCACCAGCTGCAGAATTTCAACACCCTGATGGCGGTCACCGGGGGCCTGTGTCATAGTGCCATCTCCAGGCTCAAGGACTCCCACACCCTCCTGAGCCCTGACAGCACCAAGGTGAACCCCCACTACCCTCCCCAAAGTCCAAGTGGGCAGCTGACCTGAACCCCACCTTTAAATTCCCCAACCCCTGCCCATCCCTGCCCAGGAGCCCTGGACCCACCCGAGGACCTGCCCCTCCAAACCCTGCAGACCTCCAGGCTCCGTCCCCATTTCCCGCCTTGTCACCCACCCACCCTCGGGCTGACCCCTCTCCGCTCTCAGAGTGCCTGGGCCTGAGCCGGGCGGTGAGGGAGGCAGATGCTAATAGAACTTGCAGTCCGGGTGGGGAGCTAAGACACACGCCCAACGATGCCAACATGTGTGCCACCCAAAGCGGACGGAGCATGGGCTAGAGATGTCCTGGGAGGTGTCTGAGAAGAGTGAGGCATTCCTGAGTGGGGCGTGTGGCTGAGGCCAGGAAGTGGCAGGAAGTTAGGCTGGAGATGCCCAGGGGAAGAGCCTGCCGAGCGAGCTGGGCTAAGGTGCTTGGGCTTTATCCAGAGGGCAATGGGGAGCTAGGGAAGGTTAGGGAGTGATGGCACATGCATGATTTCTCAGGTTTTTGAGAAATCGCTCTAGCCTGGGGACTGGGGGACAGTGGGGCCTCTCTGAGATGGGCACCCAAGAGGAAGAGCAGTTTGGGGAAGATGCAGAGACCAATGTGGGACATGGAGGGACTCAGGTGGTGTCCTAAATGCCGCTGGGCCCCTGGGGGTCTGGAGCCCACCCAGGAGGCTGCTAGGACACTCCCCTCCAGGGGGCCAGGGAACAGAACTGCCCTCCCGATAACATGGCCCCACGACATGTCCCTCGCACACAGGCCCTGCTGGAACTGACTGAGCTCCTCGCCTCCCACAACAACTACGCCCGCTACCGCCGCACCTGGGCCGGCTGCACGGGCTTCCGGCTGCCGGTGCTGGGAGTGCACCTCAAGGACCTGGTGTCCCTGCACGAGGCACAGCCCGACAGGTTGCCTGATGGCCGCCTGCACCTGCCCAAGCTGAACAGCCTCTACCTGCGGCTGCAGGAGCTGGCGGCGCTGCAGGGCCAGCAGCCGCCCTGCAGTGCCAACGAGGACCTGCTGCATCTGCTCACGGTGAGCTGCCTGCCCTGCCCGGCTGGGCGCCCAGGGGCCGAGCGAGGAGACTGAGATTTAGGGTTCCGGGCGGGTGAGGGTCTGCAGGACCAGGGTAGAATCAGGCTTGGAGCTCACAGGCTCTGAAGCCAGAGCTTCTAGGTTTTTTTTCTAGCTGTGTGATCTTAGGCGAGTAACTTCGCCCCTTTGCCTCAGTTTCCTTATCTGCAAAATGGGAATAATAATACTACCCACTTTGGAGGATGGTTGAGGAGAATCAACCAATAATACAATTCATATAAAGTGCTTCAAACAGCCTCTGGAGCTCAGCGACCACTCCATAAGTGACGCACCTTGATCCTCCTGGCAACTCAAATATCCACTGATCCGAGCTCTGGGACTGTTTGGGGCTTTCACAGTCCTGAACGCCAGGCTTCTGAGCTTCTCGGGCCAATGGTCCAAAGTTCTAAGCTTTGACATATCCAGGAATCCAAGCCAAAAGCGTGTAACAGTTATTGATCATTCCTATGTCCCAGGCACTGCGTTAAAAAAAAAAACTCCACAGATCTCCTCATTCCATCTTACAAACCTGTGAGGCAGGGACCCTCATTGTGCCCATTCTATGGATTGGGAAACTGAGGCCCAGCAAGGTGATATCACTTGCCCACTGTCCCACAGCACTAAAACCAGGATTTGAATCCAGGCAGGCCGGCCTCCGAGCCCGGTTGTTAATATATGTTAGCTCCTGCACTGTGGCCTGGGACTGTGGGTGCAGGATCCGGCTACACTTTCCCTCAGTTTTTGAACTGAGTCTGGGATGCTAAGGGCCATGGAGTTTAACACTGGAAAGTTGACTTGCTATGACAGAACCAGCGACGTAATTGGCAGGTCTGGCACAAAATGAAAACGTGGGCCTCCTCGTTCAAAGTTATTAAGAATTTCAGGACGGTGACGGCAGGGCATTCAGGCAAGGGGGGCTTCTGCAGGGGTCTCCGGCCTGTGAAGCCGGTCCTGCCCGAGATGTGGGTGCTTATGGCCCTTCTTGCTCTGCTGCTCCTGGAAGGCCATCAGCCCAAGTGTTCTTGAGCACCTGCTGTGAGCCCGAGGCAGCCAGCGGGTCAGACAAACAATGGCTGTTCTGGAGGGGTTGATGTTCCAGTGGGGACAACGGCCAATGAAAGTGACAAACATCGCCAGGCTTAGCCCATAAGTGCTGGAGGGAAAACAATGGGACAGGGGTGCGATTTTAAACAGGGAGATCATAGAAGACGCATGTCTAGAGGGGGAAGGGACAGTGTGGAGTGAGGGGGCTGTAGTGGGAGAGATCTTAGGGGTGCCCAAAGAAAAGGGGCTTTGGGAAGAGGACGGAGAGTGGCGGCCCAGGCCGGGACGCGGGCTGCAGGCAGGAGGACAGAGACAGAGCGGTCTGCCCCGCCCCTGCCCGCGCCAGCTTTCCCTGGATCTCTTCTACACGGAGGACGAGATCTACGAGCTTTCTTACGCCCGGGAGCCCCGCTGTCCCAAGAGTCTGGTGAGACCTGACCCCTGACCTCTGACCCTCCTCCCCCTCCTCTGCCCAAGCCTATGCGCTAACTGTGCCCCTCTGTCCCTGCCCCAGCCGCCCTCCCCCTTCAAGGCACCACTGGTGGTAGAGTGGGCCCCTGGTGTGACGCCCAGGCCGGACAGGGTCACCCTCGGTCGGCACGTGGAGCAGCTGGTGGAGGTAAGGAGGGGACAGTGGCCTGGCCCCTGGGGTCCAGGCAGGAGACACCTGCATGGCCCTGTCCACTTCAGAGGGGGCTCCGAGGCTGCAGGACTCACACTGGCTGACTGGGCCACCTCTGCCTCCCCACGCTGCTCCCAAGTCCGTATTCAAGAATTATGACCCTGAAGGCCGAGGAACCATCTCCCAGGAGGACTTCGAGCGGCTCTCGGGCAACTTCCCCTTTGCCTGCCATGGGCTTCACCCACCTCCCCGCCAGGGGTAAGCGGTCCTGACTCCTGGGTCCCCCAAAGACGAGGACACTGGGGTTGGCTGGACACCCACTGGGAGAAGCAGGGGCTGGGCGTGCTGAGGCTCCGTCTCTGTCCCCAGGAGAGGCTCCTTCAGCAGAGAGGAGCTGACGGGGTACCTGCTCCGCGCCAGCGCCATCTGCTCCAAGCTGGGCCTGGCCTTCCTGCACACCTTCCACGAGGTCACCCTCCGCAAGCCCACCTTCTGTGACAGCTGCAGTGGCTTCGTGAGCACTCTGCCCCTGGGGTCCCCTCCCCTAGAGAGCCCCAATTCCTCACGGCCGGGCTCAGAAAACCAGCCCTGCCCTGGGGCACACACAGCCCCCAGATTCCAGAAAATTCTCCAGCCTCAGATAATCCCCACATTTCATATAAACCCGAAACACCAGATACGCCCTACATTCTAGATAGTCTCCAAACTCTAGATAGTGCCCAAATTCCAGATAATTCCCAAATCCCAGACCATCTCCAAACTGGACAGTTGCCAAACTGTGGCTAATCTCTGAAACTCCAGATAATCCACAAGCCTGGGTAGACTATGTCCAAACAGAATCAGTCTCCAAATCTCTAGATAATTTCCAAATTTAAGGTATCCTCAAACTCTGGGTAACAGACAAATCTCTCAATCTCCAAACCAAGACTAATCCACAACCTTGGATTACTTCCCAATTCATTTGTTCACTCACTAAATATTTACTGAGCCCCTCCTATGTGTCTGGCGGTTCTAAGCTCTGAGGATACAGCAGGAACACAAACAACAGATACAATCCCTGCCTATAAAACTGACATTTTATTGTTTTCTATTTTAATTCCTTTTTAGAGACAGAGTCTCACTCTGTCACCCAGGCTGGAGTGCAGTGGCACAATCATTGCCCACTATAGCCCTAAACTCCTGGGTTCAAGCAATCCACCCACCTCAGCAGCCTCCTGAGTAGCTGCGACTACAGGCGTGTGCCACCGTGCCCAGCTATTTTTAAAATTGTTTTTGTAGGCCAGGAGCAGTGGCTCACACCTGTAATCCTAGCACTCTGGGAGGCTGAGGCGGGAAGATTGCTTGAGCTCAGGAGTTCAAGACCAGCCTGAACAAGAGTGAGACTCCGTCTCTACTATAAATAGAAAGAAATTACCCAAAACAACTAAAAATAGAAAAAATTAGCTGGGCATGGTGGCGCATGCCTGTAGTCCCAGCCACCCGGGAGGCTGAGGCAGGAGGGTCACTTGAGCCTAGGAGTTTGAGGTTGCTGCGAGCTAGGCCGACGCCATGGCACTCTACCCCAGGCAACACAGTGAGACTCTGTCACAAAAAAAAAGAAAAAAATTGTTTTTGTAGAGACGGGGGTCTCACTATACTGCCCCGACTAGTCTCAAACTCCTGACCTCAAGGGATCCTCCTGCCTCAGCCTCCTTAAATGCTGGGTTTACAGGTGTAAGCATCATCCCTCACCGAGAATTTACAGTAACTCCTAATTTCTCCTAATTCTAATATCTTAGATGATTCCCCAAACTTGCGATATTTTAATTTCTTCGATTCCAATTAAATCTCCAGCCTTGAGAATTTTCAGAATCTGGGTAGCCTCTATACTTCCGCACCCCTTCCTCCAATCCATAGCCCTCCCTCCCCTAGGCTGGGTAACCTATTCTGCTTTCTCTTCCCAGCTCTGGGGTGTCACCAAGCAAGGCTACCGCTGTCGGGGTGAGTGGGGCAGCGGCAAGTGGGAAGAATGGAGGGCATAGATTGGGCCTCTGGCCGTTAACCTCTGCCTTCCCCCAGACTGTGGGCTGTGTTGCCACAAACACTGCAGAGACCAAGTGAAGGTGGAGTGTAAGAGGAGGCCGGGGGTCAAGAACGATGTGGGCCCCCCAGGAGCCCCGGTCCCGCCCACACCAAGCCCCTCTGCCAGCTGTGGTAAGACCCAGAGCAGAGCAGTCCTGCGGAGGAAGCTGGTGGATGGGGATGAAGTCCACGGTCATGAGGCCCTCCCCATTATACTCACATCCCTTCCACGCACCACTCCACAAACAGGCTCCGAGGAAAATCTCTCCGACACACTATCCCTGGAACCTGAGACTAGGTGCCACCTTCGCCATGCTTGGACCCAGACAGAGGCCACACACCCTTCCTGGGAACCAGAGATGGTGAGAAGGAACTGCTCCCTACCCAGCTGCATACAGGGGAGACGGGTCACTTTGCCTGGGGAAACCAGACAGAACAATAGAAAAGTAAAAATATGCATAAGTCTTCTATTGCTAGGGCAGGAGGGTATAGGTACTAGTTCATTTGTAATGTTGATGGAAAAATACAGATTTTAATGTGTTGGGGGAATAAAGGAGGTTAACCACCAGTAGAATGGAAAAAAGGATTTAGGGAGAAAAAAAAAAACCAGTAAGATGGCAACAATAAGGCCAAATAGATCAGAAACTACAATAAATGTCAGTGGCATAAATTCTGCTATTCAAGGGCAGAGACTCTCAGGTTAGATTAAAAACTGAGTCCAAGGGGACATTCATTCATCCATTTACCACAGTCTGGGTGAGGCAATGCTCCTGGTGGTGAAATGTCTTCTAGGTATCTTATGTTCCCCGAATCACCCGAGGTCTTCCTCCTTCCAGGTCCCCTGCCCAGCGATGGCCCCGTCACCCACCTCGCCCTCCAAGCTGGATTCTTAGACATCACCTCAGTCTCCTCTCTCCCTTCCCCCAGTCAGTCCCACGTCCTGCCCTCAGCCTCCAGCAGGGCCCCCAAAGGCACTCCCTGTTTGGTGACATGTCCATCATCTCTTACCCTGGAAGTTATTTTCTTCTCTTGCATCACAGTGGGTACTGATCATACTTCCCTTTTCCTGCACTGAGTATCTGTGTAGCTCTGTGTTCGTTGTATTTAGACTCAGGGATGATGTCACCGCCTCTCTCAACTTCTGTTTCACACATAAGGAGACTGAGGCTTGGGGAGCTTAGGCTGCTGGTGCAAGACAGCAGAGATGCCCAGGACTGGAGGCAGGACTCAAAAGAGCAGGTAGTTCCAGACTCTGGGCTTCCGGAGCGGGAGAGAAGGCTGGGAAGGGGATGGAACAGGAGCCTGCGAACCTCTAAGTCAGATCACAGCCCTTCTCTGCTTGGAGTCCTCACTGCGGCCCACAAAGCCCCACACGATCCGCCCCAACACCTCTCTGACCTCACCTCCTTACCCTACTTCAGTTACACTGGTCTTGATGTTTCCTGAACATGCCTGAAATACTCCTACCTCAGGGCCTTTGCACTGGCTGTTCCCTCTGCCTGGAACGTTCTTCCCGAGGCCCACCTGGCCCCCTCCCTGGTACTTCGCTCCAGTGGCCCCTTCTCCGTGAGGCTTCTATGACCATAATCAAAGATGAAGCCCCCCCCAGTCCCCATCCTGCCTCCCTGCTTTATTTTCACAGAACTTTCCCATCTGACAAACCAGACATCTTACCCGGTCCCATGCGAATGTCAGCTCCAGGACAGCGGGGATTTCTGTCCATGTCTTTCCCTGCCGTGTTGCCGGTGCCTAGAACACGGCTGGCATGTGTGGACACCTGACAAATGTTCGTCCAGTGCCTGAATATACCCTCCCCCACGCCCACAGGAAGGGACAGATACATTGCTGAAGAGTAAAGGACTTTGCAGGTCAGAGCAACAGGGGCCTGTCCAGGCCCAGGGAGCAGAGACTTGCATCCCCCCAAGACCGAAGCACCCCAACCCAGCCCTGCAGAGATAGGTCCTGTGGCTGTCATAAATTAAATTTATTTTTCAGAAAACTCGGTTCTTGGTGTTGAGTGGTGGATGGGGCTAGGACTTTAGGGGCCTCAGGTACAGGGGATGGGGGGCTTTGGTGCCAAGTACCAAGGGAAAGCCTCAAACTGACTCCCCAGGGATTACCGCTGGCATTAGCATCTCGTGGAGGAGGCCCCTGCCAGCGGTCCCGCTTTACTTCTTCTTCTTCTTGCGGCCCCGATACTGGCGGCCCGGCCTCTGCCCACCCCCGTCTTCTCTCCGGTCTCGCCAGCTGGGCATGGGAGCCTCCAGCTCATTTGGGCGGCCCCCCCGGTCTGGCACGTTGCCCATAAGCACCTGAGAGGTGATCAGACTTGAATTTCAGAGGAAAAAAAGAAACTTGGACAAGGGGGCCAGAAAGCAAAGGCATGAGGTGGAAGAAGGAAACGCCACTGTCGACTATTTAGGTATAGTGGCTGGGCGACAGGGGACTGAATCGGCGGAAGATACAGGCGTGAAGCTTTCGAGAACTGGGTTCCAAGGGCCTCAGCAAGAAGGAAATGAAGGGGAAGGTGACAACAGAGGTCCAAGTCCCCACCCAGCATCAACAAGGGTGCCCCAACTTAGTCTATTTCATATATGGGGCTTTGTACATTTCCAGCAAACTAGTGTTTTTCTTCTAAATATCCATCATTTGGGCACCACCTGTAATATTATTTATTTACTATATTTCCTTAAAGTAAATCTCTTTTTTCTTATATTTTGCCTTACTCTTTGCTATGCTAGAGTTTACGCATTCACATAAGTGTTATATAAGACTAGTTCGGTATGAGGCTAGATTCCTAATCGTTTAAACAAGCGTATTTCTGGTTTTTAAAAATGGTTTTAAAAAAATAATACAGGCCGGGCGCGGTGGCTCACGCCTGTAATCCTAGCTTTCTGGGAGGCCGAGGCGGGCAGATTGCTCGAGGTCAGGAGTTCGAAACCAGTCTGAGCAAGAGCAGGACCCTGTCTCTATTATAAATAGAAAGTAATTGGCCAATTAATATATATAGGAAAAAAAATAATACGATAGGGTGAGGTGGTGGGGAAGGATTTTAAGCCTAAGGCAAGAGGTAGACAAGGGCTCAGTAAATAGCAGGACTTTGTCTTCAAGTCACTGGGGAACTGTGGGAGGGTTCTGCACTAGGGAAGTACAAGGTCAGATTTTTTGTGTGTGTGAGAAAGATCCTTCCAGCGCCCACTTGGATCCAAGTGGGTAGATTAGAGGCAGTGAGTCCGGAGGCCAGGGACCCAGGTGGGCAGGACAAGTTTGGACAGGGGCAAAGGCTAAAGGGCCAATTTACAGGCCAAGGATGCCAGGCCTTTCCTCACCCCAGATACCCACCTTGTTAACTGCACAGCAGGTCCCTCGGCGGGCAGCCACGCTGGTGGCTGGGACGAGACGAGACAGGTCGGCTCGGGCAGCCAGGACATGTGCAATGGAGACATCTGATTCTGGGGTCAGAAGCTCTCGAATCGGGATCAGCACGGCCTTCATGGCCTCTCCTTGGGCCTGGTCGGGGAAGGGGTGGCATGGGGAAGGTGCCCAGGAACCCTCCCCAGGGGAAATCTGTCATCTTGGGAGCGTCTCTTCCCCCACTCAGGGCTTCACTGCTGACATCGCTAAAGAAGGAGGATAGATCTGAAGATGCTCCCAGCTTAGAGCTGGGAATTGACAATCCCCTGGGTGCCCTGAGATTCTAGAAGCCCCCAAACTCACAAAAATTGTAAAATTGCCTAAGCCTCAGAACCTCCAAGAGGGTAATATTTCTGGCCCTCATTCCTCCTCCCTGCAGCTGTAGCCCCCACAGCCCTGCTCCTGCCAAGGTCCTTTGCCCACACCTCTGCCCGATCACTCCAGTGGAAAGCCGATGTCGTGAGGTCAAGGCGCTTGAGGAGGAGGCAGCGGCGGGAGCAGTACTGATCTCTCAGGCTTTGGGACAGAGACTCCAATGCTTCCTGGGAGAGAAAGTCTTAGTCATGCCAGCGGTCCCTGTCACTCCCATCTCTGGATGAGGACACTGTTCACATCCGGCCACACACAGTCTTACCCATCTGGGTGCATCTAGCGCACAGCTGAGGAGAGGCTGCATGGACCCTGGGGGCAAGGAAGGCAGCAGTTCTGAGATCTGATGGGAGAAGAAGTGAGGCCAACAGGGGTAGAAAGAGGATGGACTCCTTGTAGACCCCAGTTCCCCGTGGACCCCAGTTCTCCGTGGCCCTCAGGGCTAGGCAATGGAAACAAGAATGGCCCTCACGGCTCTGGAAAAACATGCCTGTGGGTGGGGCACTCCTGCCACACTGCTTTGGAGAAAGGATCCATGCCCTCTCCCCCTCCCTGGAAAGTGGAGTAGCCCGGGTGAGGAAGGGGCTCTGACTCTCACCTTAGCATGCAATTCCTGCAGCAGCCGGCTGGCAGGGGTCCCGGGGGTAGGTCTGGGCAGCCCCAGGGCTTGGAGGGTAAGACTCAGTTCCTGGACCATGCCAGCTCCCTCTTCTGCCCCTTCCCCCGGGGAAGACACAGGGCTGGGATCCAGCGAGGCATGCAAGCGCAAGAGGCGGGCAGCCTGGAGCTCCGAGCAAAGAAAACCTGAAAGTAGGAAAAGGGAGTGGTGCAATCAAGGGTTGCTACTCCATCCACCATAATCAACAAGCTACAGGGCCTTTTACACCTGACAACCTGGAACCCTGGCTCCACCTCCAAAATAAACACCACCTCGAGATCCTGTCTCCTCCTCCTCGCAATTCGACTCCGGCCCACCTGCCCGCCTCCTGGCCCAACCCACTTGAGCTACCAGACCCACCCACAAAAGTCTAGCCCCGCCCACCTCAGAGCCCTATGCCCGCCCTAAAGTTCTGACCACGCCCTCCTGGAGCCTCGGCTCTCCCACCACCGCACCCAAGGCCGGCCCCCGGCTCACGCAGCAGGCGCAGGCCCGCGTCGGGCTCCCGTAGCGCGGCCGCGCAGTCTCCGCCGCAGAGCGCGCGATCCGGGCAGTGCAACCCCCGCAGCAGGCCAGCCAACTGTCGCAGAAATTCCTCCTCTGCGTCCGGGCCTGCAGCGGGCGGGACGTCAGGGCGCGGCGGAAGCCGCGGCTCCATCCCTCCGGCTCTCCTGCCCCACACGTACCGTGGCCGGCGCTCAGCACGTCGGCGCCCTCCTCTGGCCGCTGCTCCAGGGCGCCCAGACTCGCCAGCTCCGCCGCCAGCCGCCCGCAGAGAGCCCTGAAGTCTGGGCACGAGGCGCCCCGCGACGCCGCCCCCGGGAAACCCCCGTACCTGCGGCGGGGCCGAGGCCGTGGGAGGGGTCGGGGAGGTCAGCGAGGATCCCCGCCCGTCCGCGTCCTGAGGGCAAACCTGCCGTTCCTGCACCCACCAGCGACACCGCACGCCCGCTTACCCCAGAGCCAGCAGGTCCCGGGCCACCGCGGCCCCCTCCCGCGCTCCCGCTTCCGCCCCCTCCATGAAAGCGTCTCCTCCGCGCCGGGTGCGCGCCCCCTGCCGGCAGGCGGTAGGCCCCGCCCCTGGAGCGCCGCGCGCACGCGGCCCCCGGCACGTAGTGCGGCGGCTCCGACCAATCAGCCTCTTCTCGCGAGGGGGCTTCGGGCTCCAATTGGCGCAGGAGGAGGCAGAACCCGCCCCACGCCCGCCAGCACCGCCCCTCGGATAACCTGTCCTGGGTTTGGGAACGCCCCCTGGCGCTGTACATTCCAGAGCGTGCTGAAGTTCAGGTCCCCGCTGTCACCCGCTGTTACCGGGTGTCGCTACCATGGCGACATAAAAGCAACTTCTGTTTCCTTGTCTTCAGCTTCCCTCAGTTGCTTCTGCTCTTAAAGCAGAGTGTTGTTCACACAACTCTGCCCTAAAACCAGAAACTCGCTTCCTCTTTTCTGCCTTAGGGTC